GCCTCGGGGCTGTAGCCCCGAGCGGCGTGCAGAAAAGGGGACGGCATTTGCTAGAAAGGCAAGAGCAGGGAAGAAAGCCACCAAGTCCCTTCCCTTCAACACCTGGCTGATGCTGGGGAAGCTCAGAGAGGGCCAGACGCTGCCTTGTGCCACCCACGGCGCGGGAGACGGCAGCGGGCATCACGTGAATGTGTTCCAAGCGCTTCCTATTTTCCAGAGAAACACTGAGGGTGGTGGTACTGCTGCTCTCCATGGCTCTCGATAGGCAGGAACGACATTACACAGGGGTCTCCCCTCCCTCACCCTCGGCTAAAGGCTTTGATTGATTTCCTGCAGGTGCTGGTGAAACCCTTGGCACCATAAAGCATCTGAAGTACTTGAATAGATATACAGCTGAGCTTAAAACATGATTTCTTTTTTAAATTGGTAGATTCATATGCCAGTCATGCTACTACAGCAGGGCTGTCTCCTTAAGGAAGAAGGCGGCCGCGGGTGATGCCTTGTTGAAGTAGAAAATGTGGCCTAATGGGATTTGCAGATGACTGGAACAGCGGCCAACGCAGCAGGTCGTTCGTCACCCTCACTTGGCGGCATCTCCCCTCTTTCTCCGAACACCCTGTCAGGTAGCTGTTTCCACACACTGCTAAAAAGGAAGGTCTCTTCTCTGAAGCAATAATTTTGTCCCCTGCCTCACCCAAGCCTGAACAACTCTGTAACTGTGGAGCAGAAATAAAGCTGCATAAACGCTGCAGCACACAGGCTCTAAATCCAGAACTGTGTCTTCCCAATACAGGAATACACAGGTAATAAATTTTGTAACAATGAAGCTTCTGCTGTGTCTTCAGGTGAATGCAGAGCCATTTGCATTAAATTCAGGGGGTAAAGAACACATCAGTTTAGTAAATAGTGTGTTATTTTTCATTATTCTGCTTTCCACAAGGAAGAGTTTCCGAACTTTTTGTTCTTTTCCCTGACCTAAAATGCAGCAAATATTTGTATCTACTTCTACATTTTCTCAGTAGAGAGAGCAGGAGATTGTTGCCAAGTGGGTGAAACTCCAAGAGGTCAGGAATGGTTTGGGTTGTTGGCATTCGGGAAAAACTCAGGGGATTTCTTACACTGTGCTGTCATTTGTTGAAAAGAGCACGTCCTGAGCTCGACGGCGTACTCGGTGTAACCACCTCCTGGCTCCGCGGGGCTGTCCACCTTCCCATTATTCCCCGCTTATAAACCAAGATCCTAAGAGCAGTAAATAGGAACATCAGGCACTTGAGTGAAGAGTGACCAGAGAGAAACAGCTAACGTTGGTATTTACACGGATCAAGAAATGATTGGTCCGTGTAAACTGATGATTCAGGAAGATGGTATGGAATTAGGGCCATGAAGGGCCCCCTGCAACCCAGCTCGCTCAGACATCGCTCTCTGGGCACGGATCATCTCTGGGCACACATTTCTCATAAATCTGCTCTAAATATATGGGACAACCTCTAGTAATTTTCAGTGGGGGTTCCTGCACTTCTGTGACTCCCTTTTGCTGTAAAAGGTCGAGCCACCAAAAGCTTGCATGGTTCACCTCTTTCAGTGAGGTACCAAAGGAATCAGTGACTGCACCCGGTGCTATCGGTGCACATAACGGCCCAGGCAAGGACAGTACTACACGGTTAATCATAAATTTTGCCTCCCACTGTGCCGACAAGGTCAGAGTTTTCAAGGGTTGAAGCTCTTCTCTGAGGTCCCTTTGTGCTTTGCCAGTGCCTCCTAACACCGCCCTGGCTCATCCCGTTGTCTTTAGACTTCTTGTCCTGACCGATTGACGCCGTGGCCGCCCTGATGGCATTCTCCATTTCCCCGCTATCCTCTTTGCTGTTTGCTGCCTTTACAGCTCAGTGACGCGCTTTCCTTTGCCGTGCAGCTCCTCTCATGCACGCCTACTCCTCTACTTGCAATTAGCCCCACGTTTGAACAAAATTACCACCCTCTGCAAATCCTAAGAAAGCCAAGCTGCTGCAAAGCCTGACAGAGGGCGAACAAGGCACAGTCAGACTGAAATCCCTTGGCTCTGCAGAAA